ATGCCACTCCTCCTTCCAAGCTTTTTTTAATCAGGGAGCTCCACCCCACTCTCTGTCCACATTGGGTAGCCAACCATTAACGCATTTGACACATCAGCATCACAGTCACTTTGGGCTTAGTTTGTAATTATTTTCATGTCCAGAGCTAAGTCTCTCTGGCCCTACTGCATCCATAACCCCTGGCCCATTGTTGGAATGCAATAATCCACAGGTGTAAAGCCGTATTACTTGTTAGCTTAGATGCATCGTCTAGAGTGCTCAGGACTTAGGGTTTTGGCTTCAGGCTCAGGAGATGCAAGGGTGAAAAGTAAGGATGGCATTCAAAGAAGACAGAACACAGCAAGGATTAGAGGAAAAGGGAGCCTGCCTTAATTCCTCAAGTTCTAAAGTAGAAGTCACAACTGCCATGATTATTTACAAAAGCATTAGACAGTGACCCTCTTTAAAGCTTGCTTCACGTATATGCTGCTTCTTTGATCCAATAGGAACTGAACTGTCCAATGGGACCATACCAATGTTTTAGTTCTAAATAACTTTGCAATGTGGATCATGACTCAGAGAAGATTCTAATGAAGGAGAGATGTGTCAACAAAATCGGCAGTAAGTTTATTGTTTTAGCTTACTTCTGCCTGGTGGCTTTGTTGTTATGTACCATCAAGTCACCTGTGACTCACAGTGACCCTATGTACAATAGCTCCAGCCCTGTCCTGAGCTAGTCTCACTGACCCTGACACAACTACCTCCCATTACACCAGTGACTGTGCCAATTCCTCTTATCCAAGGTCTTCCTCTCTTGCGCTGTCTCTCCACCCTTCCAAGCATGATGTCCTTCTCCAAGGACCACATGCCCAAAATATGTGAGACAGAGCTTCAGCATTCTAGCCTCCAAGGAGACTTGCTTTCCCTCTCTGCAAGAAAGACCTGTTTGTTCTCTTGGTCCATGGGATGTTTAATACTCTTCTCCAGCACTGCAACGCAAAGGCACTGATTCTTCATGTCAGTCTACAGACTAAGGTGCACTCAATCCAGGTCATGGTCTTCACAATTACTTGCTATACATGAGAGAGTTAGACAATGATTAAGGTCTGGTGGTTTAGTGATAAGGAATTGCACTGTCTATGCAAAAGTATGTGGTTTGAATCCACCAGCTGGTCTGCTGGAGAAAAATGGGCAACGTCCTCCCATACAATTTACTGCCTCTGAAAATCTGCTGGAGGGTCAGCTATGAGTCGGTTCCAATTCTATGGTGCATCATCACACAACAAGCCATTGAGTAAAAAGAGACTCAGAACTGACCCTACATTGGGTTTCTGAGGCTGCAAATCACACAGGAGAAGAGAACTTGGTTTGAATCTTCCAGCTGGTATTCTTTTAACACTCAATGCTGAATAATAAGATTTTAGAATTTAAATGGGATGAGGAAGTTAGTTGAATTAAACTGCCTCCATTTACATACAAGGAGGCTACAGAGAGATGATTTAGTGGCTTTTCCAAGGCCGTAAGAGGCTAGTGTGAAACAGAGCTGGAATCTGGCCACAACTGGCTTCTGGACCAAAGTATTCCTGGCTAGTTTATGCACCAGTGTATGTTTTTAATTAGCATAAAGTAAAACTCCAAGTCAGCAATTTCTTTGCAAGGATAGAAGCATTTTTGTTCTGTGAAGTCAGTTTTACCCTTTGCCATTCAGAGATCCACGCTGTCCTGTCTGGCTCAAGGCTTGGTAGATTCTGATTCAGTGTACCAGAGGTAGAAATGCAAATTCCCAGCTGGGGTTCAAGACAGAACAAACCAGTTCCAAGCCCTGTCTGGCTGCAGCTTCAAGCCACTGAGTCAAGAGTCAGACTTGTTGGGCCTCTGTAGAGGCAAGAGCAGCTGGTTGTTATCTGTTCATTAAAGGGAAATGAGATGGTTCTAAAGTCTCAAGACCCGTTTATAGTGGACTTGAGAACACTTTTACAACATGTATTATATATGGGTGTGTCTAATGGTCAATAAATTCACTTCAAGGGAAATTCCCAATCACACTCTGGAGCTAAAAATGGGCCCAGCTGGGAGGCTGCCCTAGTTTCCCGAGCATGAGCTGGCCGAATTCCCTCTTGTCCTGGCAGAGATCAGGCATTTCCCTTTTTCTCCCTCCCACAGCCTGCTGCTCAGCTCAACCTGGGAGTCCTATGCAGCTCTCATTGAATTGCAGAGGGTTTCCAAGGCTAAATGCAAAGTTAGAGAATGCAAGAGAGGCCCAGCTTTGTTCTGTTGCTGGATCTCAAGGAGGACAATCCCTTGCCACGTACCCCATGGTTTAAATGTTACAATGTAACAGTGTCACTTCCTTTAAACAAACTGCTTCCTACAACGCTCATGTCATCATGAGTCAACACTGATGTAGAACCCAGATAGATCCGGACCCCAAGGACAGTTCTGCCACACACTGTGTCCCTTCTCCAAATCAAAATTCCTGTGACCTTCTGTTTCCTTTTTGGTAAGACACAACCATTATAGCCTTAAGCTAAACAGTCAGACGCCAAATAAATGGGAATTGATATTTTAATAATGCCGACTAATTGAATGCTCTTGGAGAAGTCACTTCAAGTTCTTTGCCATTTCTCTACAGTGTGAGGAACTTGGTCCCAAAGGTCCCTCAAGGCAGGTGAGTGCTGACAGTTGAAGGCGATCTTGAAAACTGGTGTGGGGGGGTCGAGGTGGCGGGTCGTGCTCCCTTTTTGGGAGCTCTGGTGGCCTAGGAGTAAGAAGATGCTCTGCAATCTCGAAGGAACACGGTTCAAATCTGCTGTGTGGCAAAAACTGGGCAATATACTGCCTCTGAAAACCTGCTAGAGGGTCAGCTCTAGGCTCTCTCCTCAATACCTTTCCCCATTGCCCCACAAGGTCCCCTTGACGCTCACTTGTCCTCCTCAAGAGTCCTATCTGTGGCAGAGGAGGCAGATTCCGAACTTGAATCCATCGTGTGCATTCAGAGCATAGGATAGCCGAGGAAAGCGGGAACGTCTGGCTGGACCCTGGGACCACCAGCTCCTCCGAGTTTCACGTCCGGAGCTCCAAGGAGCAGGCGGCGTGGGTCCGGCGTCCTTGCCTCGCTCACAGGCGAAGGACTGGTCGCCCAGGCGCCGAGAGGGAGGACAGGGCTGCTGAGCTCCCAGATCACCTAGTCCCTGACCCAGAGCAGAACGGGCTGAAAGCGCCACGCCCTCAGGCCCCACCCTTCAGGCCGGGGCGGGCAGTAGATTGTCCCGGGCCAGGGCTCGCCGGGTAATGAGATGCTAAGGAGGCTCTCATAAAACCTCCGGCCTTGCGCCCTGCGCCCCAAGCGCACACCACCCCTCCTGCCGCCCAGGCAGAGCGCCTCGGCCCCACGCCCCGCCCGCCTCGCTCCGCGCTGCCTCCGCCCCGCTTCCTCCGCCCCCGCCGCCCGGGCAGCAGAGAGCAGCCCCGCCGGGCCCCCGCCGTCGCCGGGTAAGTCGGCCAGCGTGTCCGCCGTGCGCCCCCTGCCCAAGGGGCCCGGGGGAGGAGGCAGGAGCCCTTTCTGGGCCTTGCCGGCCCCCACGCCCCCACTCCACATAACTCCCTCCAGACTTTTCTGTCCGGAGTGTGGGTCCCCGCCCCGCCCAGCCCGCAGTGGTCCAGCTCCGTCTCCATCCTCCCGGACTGCTCGGCCCGGAGCTGCCTCCAGCGCCTCGCACATCTTTTGTCTTGGTAATACCCGGCTGGGTCGCCCCTCTTTCCTGTTCGCCCAGGTCCTCCTCCCGCCGTTCCCCGGGGGAGATCTGTGTCATTCCTGACTTTCGGTGCGTCCTTGTCCAGGCGATTGGCGAAGAGTGACCTTTAGACCTTTTCACCTGCCTTGGCTCGCCCGCAGGGTTCAGGCTGAGATCTGAGATGCAGCAGGAAGGGGAGCGGGGCCAGAGGCTCCCCTTGCCCCTGATCGCTAGCGCCTTCTCATGGGCCACCTTATCTCCTGTCTCCTCTTATCCCTCCTGGGCCGTGCGTGAGAAAGCCTCTCTGACATCCCTCAAGCTGTGTGGGAGCTGGAGCGTGGGGTGGGGGGACAAAGGGCTGCCTTGTCTTGGAGAGATTCCTGGGAGTGCGTGCCCTGAGCTCAGAAGGGGTCAAGGCGAGGCTACCCTTGCAGTGGGAGGAGGCTTGGAAGGGGACCCAGCAGCTGCTTCCCCCCACCCCAGCCCCTCCTCCGTTGGCCCAGGAGCAAGTGGCAAGTTTTCAGGGGAAGTGCCTCGACCACAGTGAGTCAGAAATAGACGGAGGCCTCTGTCACGCAGTCAGTCGCAACATCCTCTGACTGTTGAGGTAGTTTTGAAGGTGGGAAGTGGAGCCTACGCAGTTAAGAGACTCTACCCCCCTTCCTCAAGAGGCGAGCATGAGGGCCGAATAGAAAAAACTTTGGCCCTAGAAACAACCCACACTTAACGTACCACTGAGCCCATTGAGGGGCGCCTGGGATTGGGAGACCTGGAGAGGGGGCGATACGGATACCCTACAGCTAGGGATGGGGGTATTAAATCTGAGCACAAAAAGCCTTCCTACGGGCAGAGAAATTCCTGCAAGAGCTGTTGCCACGCCTCTCTACTCCGCCTGGGGCAGGCGAGCTAGGAACTGCCCACTGGGCCCTAGGGAGCTCAGTGTGTTTGGAGATTCCCGGACTGTAAGATTGAACTGGAGGCCTCTGTAGTTTCTGGGTGCCCTCTGTGCCCAAGACTCATGATTTTTCGTGTCTAAATTTGGCAAATACCATTTGGAGTGCATGGGACAACTGCTGTCTTTGGAGCAGATAGTGGCTGGTATGGGGTGGCTGGGGAGGAGCAGAGCCAATCAGATGTGATTCTCCTGTTCTCCCACCCTCTCTCCGCTCAGGCATTCTCCGCCTCCCTTCCTTTTCTCTTCCTCCTTTCTCCAAGAGACCCCTCCTACTCTTCAGCAGCCTCTCGGCTCGGCTCAGCTGCTTCGCTGGGAAACCTCCAGGGGTCTCCATGGAGGAACCATCCTCCACCAACCCTGCACATGCCCACTTCGAGAGCTTCCTACAGGCCCAGCTGTGTCGGGATGTGCTGAGCAGCTTCCAGGGGCTATGTGAGACCCTGGGGCTGGAGGCTGGTGGGGGGCTGCCCCAGTACCACAAGATCAAGGCTCAGCTCAACTACTGGAGTGCCAAGAGCTTGTGGGCCAAGCTGGACAAGCGAGCAGGCCTGCCTGTGTACCAGCAGGGCCGGGCTTGTGCCAGTACCAAGGTGGGTCCTGGACAGTGGGGGGGGGGGGGGAGGGAGGCGGGACAATGACCCACAGCGCCCTCTGTGTTTACAGTGCTTGGTGGTGGGCGCTGGACCTTGTGGGCTGCGGGCTGCGGTGGAGCTGGCGCTGCTGGGGGCCCGTGTGGTGCTGGTGGAAAAGCGCACTAAGTTCTCTCGCCACAACGTGCTCCATCTCTGGCCTTTCACCATCCATGACCTGCGAGCACTCGGGGCCAAAAAGTTCTATGGCCGCTTCTGCACAGGCACCCTGGACCACATCAGTGAGCACCATATGTTGGTCTGGAGGGACGGAGGCAGGCCAGAACTGGGCTGTTGGGCCAGGCAAGAGGTAGGGTGGACTGGAGTCACTTTAGCCAAGTGACCTTCAGGACTCAGGCCCTCCTACGTAAAATGGACAGTTGGGCTGCGTGTTCCCTAACATTTCTTTTATCTCAGATCAGATACACTGGTGGACTAGGAAGCTGTGCAGTTTGTATCACTAATCTAATACCTCCCTCCCTTTCAGGCATCCGGCAGCTTCAGCTGCTTCTGCTGAAGGTGGCGTTACTACTAGGGGTGGAAATTCACTGGGGTGTCACTTTCACTGGCCTCCAGTCCCCTCCCCACAAGGGTAAATATTTCTTTGCTCTCAGGAACCCTTACCCACCAGAGACACCTTGATCTGTACAGAAGGAATAGCTTGGGAAGGGAGTCAGCTCAGTCTCCCTAATAATATAGACTTGTGGGAGCTACTTTGAGCCTCATTTTAAGCATCTGTAAATTGAGAATAACTCCCCCCTCCTTCTCTACCTTTCATGGCTGTTGTGAAGATGTACTTTGATAGATCATGTGTTTATTTGTGTTTTACTGGCTTGCCCTGGCAGTGTAGGGCACACCTTTCTGCTTCTCATATGGACTAGCACACCCTCATGCTTCTCATACCTTCTATCCTAGGGATTGGTTGGCGTGCCCAGCTCCAGCCTAGTCCGCCAGCCCAGCTGGCCAACTATGAATTTGATGTCCTTATCTCCGCTGCTGGAGGTAAATTCATCCCTGAAGGTGAGTGACTGACTACGCCTTTCCCCAAAAAAGAAGCCCAAGTTTGTGGGATTTCTGGGCTTTTATATCCCTCAAAGGAGTCCTTGGGTTGTACAAATGGTTTGTGCTCAAGTACAGACCTGAAGGTTGGCAGTTCTAATTTAGCCAGTGGCTCCGCTCATCTTTTATGCAAAGATTACAGCTAGGAGAATCGTGTGACTCAGTTCTGCTCTGTAATATGGGGTTGCCCCGAATCAGCATCAACTTGACAGCTGTGGGTTTTGTTTCTGATTTTGTTTCTATCTCTCATCGTACTGCCACTACTCACCCTTCCATTCCCAGGCTTCACCGTTCGGGAAATGCGAGGTAAACTGGCCATTGGCATCACAGCCAACTTTGTGAATGGGCGCACCGTGGAGGAGACACAGGTGCCCGAGATCAGTGGTGTGGCCAGGATCTACAACCAGAGCTTCTTCCAGCTACTGCTCAAAGCCACAGGTGGGGGCCCCTTCCCCTTGCCCGGCTGTGGGCTGGCTCATTTCTCTTCCTCTGAGCTGTCTTGGGACCAGAAATCTCATACTTTGCTGTCTTTGTGGCTTGGCAATAAAGGGGAAAGAAGCTGGGCCCCAGGCCTTCAGTAGGCACAGCCTACTTGGCCACCCCTGCAAGACATGCTTTCAAAATCTCTCACAAAATTCATGTATTATGAGATCAAGGCCCAGCCCACTTCTGCGGCCCCTTTATAGGTGCTTTAATATAAAACACAGAACTTCAAAATGGAAGTGGCACTGCAGGAAGGTGCCCTCTGTTTACAGTTGTCACACACTGCCTACGAAGTGCACACCCACCAGGCTGTGTCATTCACAGCATGTGACAGTGTGCAAAGGTCTCCCAGCTGCTATTCCAGCCCTGTTTCCATCTCTGCCCCAAGCCCTCAGCTTTCTGGAGCCTATGACAGATGGCCCACTATACCTCTGAGGCACTCACTGCATTCTGTGCGTCAAGCCATGGTTGGGGTGTTTGTGGAACTGACACAAGCACACCTCTTGCTCCCTTCCTTGCCCCCAGGTATTGATCTGGAGAACATTGTATATTACAAGGATGACACCCACTACTTTGTGATGACAGCCAAGAAGCAATGCCTGCTGCGGCTAGGGGTGCTACGCCAGGTAGGGTCCTGGCCTGGCAGGGAGGGGCTGGGTGGTGGGTTCTGAGGGGAAGAGGCCAGAATGTGGTGTGGAAGAACCCCATCCTCTCCTGCCTCTGTCCCAGCTCCTCAGACTCTTCTCCCTTGGGAGTTACATGGCCACCAGTGCAGCTTCTAGGCTAAGTGACTTAAATCGGTCAGTAGACGGGCACATCTGGGTTACAAATGAGACTCATTCCTAATTCTCTTTATGTCATAAGGTGGACCTTGTATGTTGGAGAGTCAGGTGGTTCTTTAGCCCGCCATCCTTACACTCTCTTAGTCCTCACAATCTCTCACACACAGTCTATGACACACTCAAGCCTATTGCTGCAGTCACTGTGTCAGTCCACCTGGTTGAGGGTCTTTTCTCCTTTGCTGCCCCTCCACATTGCCAAACATGATGTCCTTCTCCAAAGAATTCCTCTCTTGGCAACATGACCAAAGTATGGCATTATTCTTGCCTCCAAGGAGCACTCTGGCTGCATCTCCTCCAAGATTTATCTTTTTGTTCTTTTGGCAGTCCATGGGATCTTCAGCCCCCTTCTCCAACACTGCAGTTTAAAGGCATGAATTTTTCTCTCAGTCATTGTGCATGGGATAAGACAGTGTTCAGATCAGTTATTCATAGGATCTCTATGGGCTGTACTCGACTCGGTGGCACCTACCAACCACCACCTACCCACCCACTGCCATCAAGTTGATTCTGAGTCTCATCAGCCCTGTAGGACAAGATAGGTTTCCAAGGCTGTATTTTATTGGGGCCGACTGTTGCCTTGTTCTTCCTTGGAACGGCTAGTGTGGTCAAACCACTCACCTTCAGTTACTAGTAGCCCAGCACTGGTTGTTGTTGTTGTGTACCATCGAGTCAGAACCAACCCATAGCTGACCCTCTAGCGGGTGGTCATTAGCAGTTAATCTCACAGAAGGAGACCGCCCGTCTTTCTCCCTAGAGCTGGTGGTGGACTCATACTGCATGTCTTCGGGATGGCAGTGCAGCTTTTTACCACAGATTAGCACCAGCATTGAATGGGGCTCCGCTAATCCACTGAGCCCCACAGTTCATTTAGTGCCACGAAAGTCTCAAAACCTGCTCAGTGATTTCAAAGCTACATGTGCAACAAGTGAAGTTGATTGTGATGAAAAATTTGGGTTGAGTAGGAGTTAGTTCTTCCGTTTTCAAGTGAGGGTAAATTTAGGGCTATAAAGTCACGCTTAAACTCCTCACCAAGGACTCCTGTACTGCAGATGTCAGCTCTCCGAGGGCAAAGCCTTCTTTCCATCCATCTCTGAAATGCCTAGAATTTTGACTGGTGTCTGGCACACAGTAAATTCTCAGTACTTGCTGAATGGATGAAGTAATTGAGTGCCTCCTATGTTCTAGGTGCTGTTCTTGAGCGTTTACTATAAATTTTCCATTTAATTCTCATGATCACCATGATCACATGTATGCTATCTTTAAATAATGAAGTATAGATTCTGTTAAGTTCAGTGTTTGTCCTAGTTTAGTGTATGACAGAGATGGTAACAGGACAGGACCTGGTGTCTCAGTAAAAGGTGAGGCAGGATATTTGCATGAGAGCCCTGAATCTCCACCTACAACTTAAGTGTCTTCTAGGGAAGGCCCTTCTCTTTTCTAGGTGTGTGTACCCTGCACACCCAATGAGGTGGGACTGACCATTTAGCCCTGATGGTTCTGATCTGTTGGCCATTTAGGACTATTCGGAAACCGACCAGCTACTAAGCAGTACCAATGTGGTGCCTGAAGCTTTGCAGCGCTTTGCCCGGGCAGCTGCTGACTTCTCCACCCAAGGCAAGCTTGGAAAGCTGGAGTTCGCCCTGGATGCCCGCGGGCGGCCTGATGTCTCTGCCTTTGACTTCACAAGCATGCTGCGGGCAGACAGCTCTGCTCGTGTGCAGGAGAAGCATGGTGCCCGCCTTCTGCTGGGGCTGGTGGGGGATTGCCTGGTGGAGGTGAGGGAGTTCCCTGTTTGGGGAGGAGGGTGGGCTTTCCTTCTGCTTTGAAAGTCAAGGACTGCCTTTAGGGGTGTACAGGGATTTTTCCGGTGGGGAGGAGGAAGCTTCTTGATTGGGAATATAAGATCAAGTTCATTCTGACTCAGCAACCACATGTCAGAGGAGAACTGAACACTATAGGATTTTCAGTGGGTGAATTTTCAGAAGTAGATTGTCAGATCGTTCTCCCAAAGCACCTGTGGGTAGACTTGAACCTCCAGCCTTTCAGTTGACAGCCAAGCACATTAACTGCTTCACTCCCCAGAGACAACTCCTAATAATAGGTTTGCTCATTGGTAGAAGGTGTTCCAGACTGCCTGGTAGAGGTTGAGAGACTACCTCGTATGGTGAAGGGAACCCCTCAGTCTGACCTTGGGGGTCATCTGGGTTTGGGAACTCTTATTGAGCCCTCACTAGCTGCTTACTCTCCCTTTGACCCTGCAGCCCTTCTGGCCTTTGGGCACTGGAGTGGCCCGGGGCTTCCTGGCCGCCTTTGATGCAGCCTGGATAGTGAAGCGGTGGGCAGAAGGCGCTGAGCCTCTAGACGTGCTGGCTGAGCGGTGAGGCCTGAGTTATCAAGGGGACTGGTTGGGGGCAGGGGGCAGGCAGAGGGACAAAGGGGTACTGGGTGAACGGGTAAGATAATGAACACCTGGCAGTCTTGAGGGGTGAGTACTGATGAGTGCCCTCCCGCTCATGCCCTGCCCCTCCACCCCTGCCCCTAGTGAGAGCCTGTACCAGCTCCTGTCACAGACATCCCCGGAAAACATGCACCGCAATGTGTCCCAGTATGGGCTGGACCCAGCCACCCGCTACCCCAACCTGAATCTCCGGGCGGTGACACGCAACCAGGTCAGACCTCCTGCCACCCTCAGACTTCCCAGCTTAGCGCCGCCAGCCCAGGCCTTCCCTCCAGGTCTGCCCAGTCATGGCCTCTCTGAGGCAGGCCTGTCCCTCTGGTGGGCCCCTCCTCCATGGGCTGAGGGGGTTGTGGTCAGGCTGGCCTGAAACATAAAAGGGGCTGTTGTAGGTACGAGACCTGTATGATGTTGTGGCCAAGGAGCCTGTGTCGAAGAAGAATGACAAGACAGATGCAGGGAAGCTGGCCACTGGTAAGCATACTCCACTCCAAAGATGTTCAGAATGCTTATCCACATCTCGGGATGGGGCAGTGTGCCACAGAATGCTAAGTGTTTGGTGGTGGAACAGCGCAGGGGGTCCTGGAGGCGTGGAGGACAGTGAAGGACCCAGCAGCAGCTCTCTGCCAGTCTGCACAGAAGTCTGTCAGTAGTTTCAAAGCCTTTTTGACCGAAGTGGTGCTGAATGCATTGTGTAGTCCTCTGTTCCCAGTGCTGCGGTCTGGCAGTTCCACCCTGCAGGCCTATTTCCTTTGAGCCCCTGGGTTCCCTGCCCCTCTCCATTCACAGCCTGCTGTCTTCTTTGTGGTACGCAGTCCCCCACTTGATTCCAATAGAGGATCATTTTAAATAAGAAAATAGGGCTGAAAGTGCTTGCTGACAGTGAACTTCAGGCTGGTGCCCCCGTAGAGTCTCTATCTCCCATAGAGATCCCCAACTTGACACTGTCACCTTGTGCCAAGATTGGGGTAATGGACATCTTCTCTCTCATGGGTGATAGGCACCCAGGAGGCACTGCTGCGATGGTGCCAGGAGCAGACCGCTGGGTACCCAGGTGTCCACGTCACTGACCTATCCTCCTCCTGGGCTGACGGGCTGGCTCTGTGTGCCCTGGTGCACCGGCTGCAGCCTAGCCTGCTGTGAGTTGTGGATTGGGTGAGGTGGGGGTGGGGGTGGGGGGAAGTACATATCTCTTTTGTGCCCATGGCTCTTGTTCTGCTTCAGCAATGACGAATGTAGTGAGATCACTGTGTGGAAGTTAGTGTGTCTAGTTGAGTCCCAGTGCCACCACTTAGTAATAATCCTTATGCTCACATTTCACCATCCTAGAGGCAGAATTCCTAACCTTCTAAGTCTTGTGAGAATCAAATGCCCTAAGAGAGGCTTGTAGGTGGTAGGCCCCCAGAGCAATGATCAATGGACCACATGTGGCGCAGGGGGCCAGGGAAAGAACCTTCCCTCACTTCTCTCCTCCCTTTGAGTCCTCAGTCTGCCCCTGCTCTCCCTTCCTCGAATTCCAACCCCTCTCTCCTCATAGTGTTGTCTCCCATTAACTCTTTCCTTCATACCCCACAGAGAACCCTCGGATCTGCATGGGATGGGGGCTCTGGAAGCAACGTCATGGGCACTGAAGATGGCAGAGCAGGAGCTGGGCATTGCACCAGTGTTGTCTGCACAGGCAGTAGTGACGGGGAGTGACCCACTGGGCCTCATTGCCTACCTCAGCCACTTCCATACTGCCTTCAGGAACAAGCCCCAAAGCCCAGGTGACCTGGAAGGTGGCTGGGGGACAGCCTGGGGTGGGGAGGTAAAGACGTGTATGTGAGAGAGGCTTGAGAGAGCCATCTGAGGCCCAGCTTGGGGAAGATGTCCTGGGCTAGAGTGTGGCTGTCAGTTCTGAGGGTTGTTATTGGCCCATGATCCCTGACACTGACTCCTCACACAGACCCTGTCAGCTGTGGCTCTCCAGGGACGTCCAGTGCTGTGCTGTTCCTGGGCAAACTGCAGAGGACCCTGCAGCGGACCCGGGCCAAGGTGGAGGCGGGGTTGGGGGCTAGGAGGGGTGCCCATTGGGGGGGTGTCTATGGATGGGCTAGGAGGGGTTCCCAGTTAGTTCTGTGGGTGCCAGTGAGGAAGATATTCAGCATGAGGGAAGGGGATAAGGGACTCAGATCCACATGCTCAGAACATAGGACTTCTTGCAGGAAAATGGGGAGGATGCTGGTGGCAAGAAACCGCGTTTGGAGGTAAATGTTAGCAGGGCCTGACGGTCCCTATTCACCACACATTATCTCCCATGTTTGTCCCTTCATATCTTGCTCCTACCCCATGTCCCTTAAGCCCCCAGCCTGTTTCCCTTCCTGGTCTCACTTCTCACCCCTTCCTGTACTTTCATCGTTGCACACCCATTCCTCAACTCTTCCTGTCCCTCAGCTATCCTGGCCTGAGCATAAATTTACCCCCCTTAGGTAGAGATAGAGACCCCAGGGACTGAGGAGCTACCTGTCCCAGAGCCCAGGGGACCCCTGACACCCCCATCCCAACAGCAGGAGGTAAGATCAGGGCTCTGTCTGCAGGCAAGAGGCTGGGGGAGGGAGCAGGCAGGAGTATTTCTGGGACAGACTTTGTACCTGGCCCTGGCTCCAGCTGACCCTGTGATCTGGGGGTACAGACTGATGCTGGGGAGCTCTGTGCACTCTGTGGAGAACACCTCTATCTCCTGGAACGCCTCTGTGCCAATGGCTCTTTCTTCCACCGGAGCTGCTTCCGCTGCCATATCTGTGAGTCCACGTTGTGGCCAGGTAGTTACGGGCAGCACCCAGGAGATGGTGAGTAGCCCCAGGAGGTCTCCAGAGGGGCTTGCCTGCCTGGGCAAGGGACCTGAGGGTGGAGGAGAGCTGGGATTCTGGACAGGCAGAAACACCTTCAAGTTGGACTTCCCCCCGCCCCCTCCCCAGATCAAGTCTTTTCTGTGTCCTCCAAGGTTCCAAATGAGAGGTTTTAAGGAACCAGAAGGCTGGTAGAAATGCACCTGTAAATCCCAAGTCCTGTCACCTTCTCGACCTTCAGCTGCCACCGTGTCTAATAAACTGACTTATCATTGGATTGCCTTAATCTGATGCTTCCCTTCTTTCCCTCTCATGTTCCCAGGATACTTCTACTGTCTCCAGCACCTGCCCCAACCAGGCCACAAAGAGACTAGCAGGGATGGAGGCCCCGAGAGTCTGGTAAACCTGTGAATATGTGTTAGGGTGTTGGGCAGGTAGCAGCGAAGGTGCTCTCCCATATAGCACCTTCTAAACAACATTCTAGTTTATTCATCTGCATCCTGGCTAACACTGCTGGTCAGTGTTTAGGGAATACATAGATGCCACATCCCACATTTCCTGCACACGGATGGCCGTAGCCCCACACTCAGCAAGCTGCTGATCAAATCTTGTCACTTTTCCAGGAACCACCCCTACCAGACAATGAGAGCCTGTCACCAGCCCCCATACCACCCACAGTCCCCCAAGAGGAGGCCAAACCTGCTCCAAGTCCTAGTCAGCCTACTCGTCGGCTGATCCGCCTCTCCAGCCCAGAACGCCAGCGGCTGTCCTCCCTAAACTTAACTCCTGACTCAGAAACAGAGACCCCTCCCAAGCCCCCTCGCAGCTTCCCTGCCTTGGCCCGCCAGGCCCTGGAGGATAGCTTTGTGGGCTGGGGAGTACCAGCCCAGAGACCTCAAGGTAACTGCTCTGCCTCTACCACAGATGTGCTGACCCAGGGTTATGATGGCGTGGGGTGAGGGACCTGGGACTCTTGTGAAGGCAAACCTGGGGCATAGAGAAGGACGTGAGGATCTCAGGTCATGGCTATCTTTCCTCTGCTCAGGGCTCTCTGGCTCATTTCTTGTGACCTTGGAGAATGAGGAAGAAGAGAGTTTCCCTTCCAGTGAAGAGGAGGAGGAGGAAGAGGAGGAAGCTATTGCTTTGGATGAAGACATAGAGCAGGTGCATGGGACAACCTTGGCTACCTGCCCTACCCAAGCTATGTGTCCACTAAATTCCTGTCCCTGCTACATAGCAGTCTGCCAGTCTTCTCTGAGCCCTTCTCTTACAATGACTTATTCACCTCTAGCAGGATTTACCCCATTTGCTGTTCTTTTCTGCCACTCCCAAATGGAGTATCTCCAAGCCCCATTCACCAGAAGTCTGGCCTATCCCTGACTGGTCTGACCTTGCTATAGGTCCTGCTGAAGTTTGCCAAGAACTCAGGCACCATGAACAAGTACCCAACATGGCGTCGAACTCTGCTACGCCGTGCCAAGGAAGAGGAGATGAAGAGGTTCTGCAAGGCCCAGGTGAGTTCCCAGAAGTTGTGACAAGGAGAAAGTTCTGTGACTGGGGATCAGACCGCTTCTAAGGCCCCAGTGAGTAATCTGAAGACCTGTGGGCCTTCTGTATTGTTCTCAGGCCATCCAGCGGCGGCAATATGAGATTGAAGTTTCTCTGAGGGAGCTGGAGGCTGAGGGCATGAAGCTGGAGCTGGCTTTGAGGAACAAGAGCAGTGAGTGAAAACGGGAGGACGATGTGGACATCCCTCTTCCTCCCAAGCACTGGGTTCCACCCTAGGCAATCTTTCTAACCCTCAGGGTGTGGCCCCGAGTCCACAGCTCTTAAGACACAATTCGTCTCCTAACTCCAGCTTTCCTCCATGCTCTGTCTCTCCTAACCCCTCAGCTGGGTACCTCCTGACCACTCTTCCCTTCTTCCTCACTATCAGGTGCCCCTGAACAACAGAAGCAGCTGTTGTTAGAACAGCTACTACAGCTTGTTCAGAAGAAAAACAGTCTGGTGGATGAGGAGGCTGAGCTCATGATCATGTAAGGGATGGGGACGGGGACAAAAGCATGTGAGCCAGGTAGCCCTAACTAGGTCCCTGGACAGCTTGCTTCATCCTTTACCTCCACAGAGCGCAAGAACTTTACTTGGAGGAGCAACAGTGGCAGCTGGACCAAGAACTACGAGGCTACCTAAACCGGGAAGGTAGGGAGGAGCAGACATCATAGGACTGGTGTTGTACAAGCTTTATGATCTCGGGCACAGCTGATTGTGACAGTTCAAGGGAGAAACCAGAGGAGGGAGCTCCAAAGCCCCGAATTCTAGCTTCAGCTCTGTCAGAGCTGTACCACTGGGCTTCGGCATACTCTCTCCAAATATGACACTACTTCTGAATAATGCTAGAAACCACTGATCTTAATAAGCCTCCTAATTTTACAGATTAGCAGAAGAACTTCCAAAGTGATGCTGCTTCTAAATAATGGTCGAAACTACCGGTGTTAACAAATCTCCTAATCTTACAGATTAGGAAACAAAGCCCAGGATGTATATTAATAGATGTTACAGAGGCCTGGATTAGGTTGTATCTTGTCTCACCAGTGTGCTCCCTGCTCTCTAAGCATCATCTCTACCCTTCAGAAACCCTGAAGACAGCTTCCGATCGGCAGGCTGAGGACCGGATTCTGAAGAAGAAGGTGGACGTGGTGAACCAGAGAGATGCTCTCATCCGTTTCCAGGAGGAACGCAGGCTCAGTGAGTTGGCCTCAGGGACAGCGGCCCAGAGCTAGGAGTCTGTGGCCTCTCTGTCTCCTGTGCTACAAGGAGGATGGCCATAGTACATGTCTCAGCTGTGTTTTCAGGACCAGTGCCTGACATAACTTTATGCCCAAGGACAATGCCGCCTTGTTTACTTAGGCTACTGGGAGAGGGCCTCACTGTTTACAATAAAAAAATTTTTCCAGCAGACAAAGTTGTGCTACCTGAGGTTCAGGGTCAGGAGTTTTGTAGTGAGGGCAGATGTGTTTAGAGGCTTGTGGCCTTTATTTTGGTAGTCACATTAACGTCACTGCTGCCCTTAACAAAGAAGAAGGCAAAGCCACCAAAGAGTATCAAGCTTTATTGATCTTCAGCTCTGTCTGTCCTCCTCCTCCTGGCCCAGAAGATGTGCTGGCTGAGGCACTGAACCCAGTTCCTGTGCTTCCTTGGCCCTTCCCAGCATGTGTTGGAGCTCAGTATGTGCTTTCTGTAAGCCTTTTAACTCTTGAGTATGGAAAAGGTAGAATGCACCTGCCCCGAGCACCACTCCCACAGTGGAGCTCAAGAGCAGAAAGGTACCTTCCTGAGCTTTTCCTCCAGCCACCAGTGCACACAGCAACACAAAGAGAAGCAGCCCCAGGCCAACCATGTAGCTGGAGAAGGAAGCGCGACAGCAAGCTCGAATCGTGCCCAGGACTACCTCTGTCCGGGCCTCCTTTAACACAGTGATCAGTGGTGACACCTCTGATGATTCTAAAAGCAGGGCAGAGGGGCAGAAAAGAGCAGGTTAGAGTGGAAGAACTGCTTGACAGGGGTTGGAGGAGGCGGTACCAAGAGAAAGAGTAGATAACTCACCATGGGTAACGATAGGGCTCTCCAGCGGGGGGCTGTGCCTCACACACAGAGTTGCCATTAGAGCTTCATGATCAGAAAACGGAGTGCCTCTCTGAGGGTCGTCGCCTTTAGTGGTCTTGAGTGTCTTACAGGAGATGTGGACCCCAGAAACTGCCTAGGATGGGTGAGGGCAAGAGAGTTTACCTTCCCAGGGAACCAGCTCCCAGTTATCAAATGCTGCTGTTGGCTGGTGAGAGGTGGATCACAGTGGTGGAGGCACAGTGTTGGGGAAGAGCCTGACCTTGTAAAGCACGTAATCAATGCGGATGCCATAGGGAAACGGAGCCAGCTCCTGCTGGTTTACATAACAGTTCTGGGGCACCATTGTACAGCCTTCCTCACAGCCCTAGGTAGTAAGTGCTTGTGTTAGGATGCCGAGAAAGAGAGAACCTGCGGTGTAAATGGGGAGATAACGAACGAGGACCTCACCTGGAAGTCCTGAGTCTCGAGGTAGGCATCCTGTAGGCCTGTCAACTCTTTCAGCAAGCGGCAGCCCAGGTCTTTTGGGTGCAGGTTGAGGTCCCCACACAACAGAATTGCATCTGCCCTCTTCGATGTGTGACTGGGGGGAAGCCAAGGCTGGTGAGGTAAGAATTCCTCCCTCACTAGCTTTGCCCTTTAAGTGGTGCCCTGGCCACCCCTCTTTCCCTGAGTCCCATCCCACTTCCCTGCCAGGCCCAGGCTCACACACTGGATGAACTGTGCAAGTTCCCAAGCTTGGGCCACACGGTGTGCTAGGTAAATGTCCTTCTGTCGATTATACTCTGCATGGAGCTGAACAAGGTAAGTGAGATGATGGCAGTTAAGACAGAGCCCAAGAGGCAAAGTCTCAGCCAAGCATGTATCTTGTCATGTAGCATAACACCCAGTACAGGATTCAACAGTCTCAACCACACCCAGACATCACAGCTAAAGAAGTTCCATCTTTCCCTCTCACGGCTAGGCTGCCTGTCCCAACCCAATCCCACCATGGCTAGTTTCACTCACATGGGTCACATAGGCATTCAACACAAGTCCGCTTAGATGGAGCACCAGCAGCCCCACAGCTTTCCCACAGAACCAGTCACCGTGATGGATCTGCAGACAGGTGGGGGCAAAAACTCAGGGCTGGGGAAGAGGGCAGCTGCAAGGCAATGCTACCCTCTCTGCCCATCAGCTAAGGGCTACCTTATGCTTGTGGGGGCAGTGGGAAGAGGAGGTCAAAGTTCAGCTTACCATGTAGGGATAACCATTGAGTGTGTAGACATGCTGGGTGAGTTCTTGGATTGGGTGTTTGGAGAAGACACAGAGGCCACTGCCAATTATTCCACTGCAAGCCAAGCCCCGATTAATAACCAGATAAGAAGCAAGAGGAAAACCCCACCCACCTTCTTCCCAGTTCCCCTCCCTTGTCTCCCAACTCTCTGCTTCTCTCTGCTGCCCTGATCAGCCCTGGGAAAAAGAACAAACCTCCTACAGGGTTTGTAGGAGGATAATGCAGTAGTCTGATAAGGCTGTGCTGGACAGAGTTCTCCTGATGCCTCCATTTCCTGGTATCATACCCAGAGGGTGAAGATACTGGCAGAGGGGTGAGCAGGTGGTGTAGAAAGGACAGGGAATGGCTGGCCTGAGAACAGGCTTGCTTCTCACCTCCTGAAGTAATGTGCAGCTGGGTAGGTGGGCAACAGCTTCTGTCTCAACGACTCAAAGTCGTTTTCACTCCACACCTGATGAGAGTGGGTGAGGATGGCTGATGGGTCGGGCCCTTCCCCAAGGTGCCGAGGGAAAGTACCCTTCTACTCCTCTCCTCCTAGCCCAGGTTCCCTACATAAGGGTTCCCCACAACCCTACCTCCTCTAAGAGAGCCAGGTCAAAGCTCTCAACGTTCAGAAAGTCTCCCAGGCGGTTCAGGCGGTCCACGCGGTTCTTGCTCCAGTAGGGAATGCCCCTAGGGAAGAGACGGGTCCCGGATATGATGGGCCTTCAAGGTGCTGGCTCCTCCTGCATCTCAAGACGTTAGGTCAGGACAAGGACAATGGCCAGGAGTTGAGGAAGCCTTCCTTCCTGGGGCTGGTGGGTGTAAATGTGACACCTCAGATCCCCCACCCCCAGGCCCTCCACCTCAGCTGCACTCACCAGCAATTGAGGTTAAAGACCCTCAGGCGCAGGGTGAAGTTGGGCTTCATGGCAGGCTCCTCTGGGAGCAGTGAGGTGCAGATCAAGGCGACTGGGGATCAGGAGGGACCGCCTGGGTAGGGGCGGGCCGGGGGCGGGCCGCACTGCGGGGTGGTCCCGCCCTCCGTGCTTCCGGGGGACTCCCGCTCAGCACTGGTCTTGGGAGGGCCCGGCCCGAAGCTTCCTCCCGCGCAGATGGAACTTTGGGGGCGCGACTCCCGCACCCGCTCCTCGCTACCCAGGCAACCGGCCCTCTGGCCGGAGGCTGGGACTGCTAGCCAAACCGGAAAAGAGATCCACTGCGCTCTAGGGGCCCCGGGATTCCGAGTCGGTCGTGCTGCGCGGGGCGGAAGCCCGCGAGGCTCTGGGTTCCTCGATCTTTTTCCAGAACTCCCCAGGCGTCGGGGAGCCGGCGCGCACCTCTCCCACCTCGAACTGGGCGAACAGGCAACAGGCGCAAACTTAAGGAAAGGCCCTGCGGAAGCCACTCACCACCAAGGCCCGCCCCCTGCGAGCGGCGGGGCGGAGCCACAAGGTTGCCCGGGCAACACACTGTGTGTGCATTCCAGGCTAGGCGGGAGCCGCCGCCATGGCCAGCCCGCCTCGCAATCCCGGCTCCCGGCGGCCGCAGTCCCGCCGCCCTCAATCCTCGCCCAAGCGCATGCTGCGTGTGAAGGTGGTGGGGCTCTTCAAGAGCGCCGGCTTTCAGATTGCCAAGTGCACAGCCGAGGTAACCCCGCAAAGAAATCAGAAGTAGGGGGCTGCCCTCCTGGTCTCCGCTGAGTTGTTCACCCCATAACTCCGGTTGGTGGAGTTGAGTGTTCCCTGGGGATTTTCTGGGTCTTCAGGGTCCTGGGTGGCCCTTCTGCTTCCTCGAGAAGGGCAATTTAAAAAAAAAAAAATTTGTGTGTGTGTACCGTCAAATCAGATTTGCCTAGTGTTGGATTCAAACCACCGAGCTCTGAGATTGCAGTGCAGTCTTTTGCCACTCAGCCACCAGAGCTCCCTTGAGGAGGGCACTTTTTAATGGAGGGATCTGCAGGAAAGAAGTTTTCAAAGGCACTTATAATTACTTTAAACAATTCCTAAAAAAAAAAAACTGCTCAGGAAAAGTTACCATACAACTAATTTTTGCAGACTCCTCAACTGGTTTTTAAAAGCTGTCTTTTCTGTAGTAGCTACTGTATTGCAATTGAACCAGGTTGGGCCACAGGTATTTTTGAGAATCCAGACATTTCTTTCTGGGTAGGAGGAACGATATAAAAGAGGAGGAGGATTCTTTATATAAGAACCTGGAAGAAATTGGTCAAGCTCAAACTATGGCACACCTCCAACCTGAATGAAAGACAAATGTGTTACCCATGGCATGTTAACATATGGAATTTAGCCCGTATCTGCCTGATCAACAGTGCCAAGCTTCTCCAAGATCTGGTTAGACTCCACGATCCTGTTTGAAGGATCTCTGCTGCAAAAGGACACAGAAGGTTCTCAGAAATCAGTGTATGAGTTAGAAATCCCTGCAGCATTGCTGCTCCTGCATTCAGAGTTGAAGAAATGTTTGTATCAAATCAGGAAAACAGCTAATTTACAAAAACATGTAAAATTTATATCAAAACATCAAGTTGAAGAAAAAGGTGCTTTGAAGTTTGTGGAAACAATATATATATGTTATGTGCCGTTGAGTCACCTGTGGCTCATAGTGACCCTATGTACAACAGCTGTAAATCCTACTCTATCCTGTGCCAATCTTAACTGTAGCTCTGACACACCTCAAAGAAGTGAAATTTTGATTGTGTTAACTAAGCAAACGACATCAGCAAAGTTTTGTGGGAAAAGTTTTATTTAAGGAGTTTGAGTCAAGTACGACTCTTAGCGACCTATGACAATAGATCTGAACCATGTCCTATCCTGTGCCATCCTTATCATCTCTGAAATACTTGATCTCATTGCTGTAACCACCACGTCATTCCATCTCATTGAAAGTCATCCTCTCTTCTGCTGACCCTACACCTTTCCAAGCATAATATTATTTCCCAATGAATAGCTTCTCCTAACAACATACCCAAAATAAGACAATAAATTCAATTTTACATTTAGTCCTGTGGTGTCTATTGTTCATAACAGCTTACCTAACCATTAACTTTGACTTCATCACATGAATTGATGGGATCGTATAAATAAGGTATGTTTGTCTCTCCACAAGGCGATTGGCTAGTCTTGCCATTTAAATTGAGTGGATTCAGCACCAGAAAATGGGGACTCTCAACACCAAGAAGAAAGAGGCAGCCGCTTGTGCTTTGGAGCCTGAGATTCCTGTGCAAGCCAGACTGGGATGTAGGCAAGCGCAACGGCAGCGTCTGTTCATAACCAGAGGCCACCCTGAAACAGAGCTGACTTGTGACTGCTGCTCTACAGAACCAGCTGGGGGACTCAGGGAGGATGCTGTCACTGACAGGACTAAGGGAACTTTGTAACATTGACCTAAGCAGTGAGGCTGCAGGTCAAAAGGCCTGTGACCATGTTTAAGAAGCTGCCTGGATTGAGGGATTTTATCCTGCTGCCAACTTGAAGGTTAACCTGCCTAACAAACCCCAGAACAGTGAGTATAGTTTGTTTTTAAAGAAATTTTATTTGGAAAGAATGCAGAAAGAAAGAAGAAATCCCATTTACGCCTTGTTGTTGTGGTGTACCATAGAGATGGTAATGACCCAGAGCTGACTCATAGCTGAACCCTGGTGGGCTTTCAGAGGCTGTAAATTGGATAGGAGGAGAGTGCCAGTCCTCCCGTGGAGCAGCTGGTGACCTCCAACTGTATGCCTTTGGTATATTGCAGTGCAGGTTCTTGACACTAGGCCACCAGGTAGTTTTTTTAAACAATAATTTACTAAAAGCCACCCCTCCCACCCTTGCCGTCTTTTAGGGTCACATTTTCCGATTGTAGGTCTTGCACACTAGTCCCAGAAAGATAGCTGGGGGCAGGGGAACAGCGTATCACTCGATTATTCTCTCAAGGTGGCTGAAAAGATTTTTTTTTACATTGTAAAAATAGAAGGATAACTAGTAAAATATATATGGGGATCCAAGGGGGTAAGTGGTGGGAGCAGAAGGGTGAGGACGGGCAGAGATAAAATCACAGGGTTGCACAATTTAGTGCGGGGTGAAGGGAATGGATAAAGGAAATGAAAAAGATCCAGCGTGGACTGGAAAAGACAGGGCAGTGGTGGGCAAAGTCCAATGATGAGAATATTTTTTTCCTTTTAACAAAGAGATTGTCTTTTATTATTTGTGAGTTTCCTCTTTGGGAATAAGGGTGCACTCTATCTAGCTGTTTTATGCTAAACAGGGGCATTGAGATGGAGGGAAAGGGGAGCCCACTTTAATACTTTACTGGTGGTATTGATTTGAAGCTACATTCCTTCTTGTCCAATTGGAAAATATTTTCATGACATTTTCTGTCCAGTGGGAGTGGCTCCATCCATTTTCACTTCCTTAGCTGGCAGTTATATTTCTCTTTTGTCTCTGGGACCGGGCTCAGGGTTGAGATTCTGGAACAAGGCTCAGTGTTCAGATTACCTATAGGAATGGAAGCAAACCTAGAGAGAACAAACTTTTGAGTTACAAAGAAAAAGGCTTTGGAAGTATTACTTATAGGTGTACCGGAGGAGGAGACGGAGGAAAGTGGCTTAAAGTTCCTCATACACACTAGGCAGCTCCCCCCTGGCAAGTGGCTCTCTCCAGGGGCCTGGATGGCTTACCCCAGGGGCCAGGCAGTTCTCCCCAGGGGCCTGATCACTCTTTCCATGGGCCAGGCAGCTCTCTCTAGGGGATGGGCAGCTCTCCCCAGAGCCTGGGTGGCTCTCCCCAGGGGCTACATGGCTTTCCTCCTGCCCCCAAGGTTCTTTTGAAGTCTGGACCTTGTGCCTTACTGCAAACATTGGCCAGGGACAGTATTTCTGGCTCCAGCACCGCCGTCATTGCCCCCTTCCTCTCCACCAAGTGGTCTAATTGTAACTCAAAGTAGTTATTATTACTTTCCCCTTCCACAAATGGAGAAGGGCTTCCTGAGTGGTGAACAGACCCACTCAAGGTTGAAAAAGTAATAAAGGCAATAGAACAAGGACTCAGCCCAAGGTTGTCTGAAGGCTGGTTGTGAGATGGTGAGCTCCACATGATGCTCAGGTAGACCGTCTTTTATCTTCCTCTACAAGCATACTCTTGTTGAAGATTATTTTAAAATGGCTAGAATATATTCAGGCACCAGGCCAGGCTTCCACCCACTGACTGAAACTCTCTTCTTCATACTGCTTGAATAAAACAGCCATCTCCAGTTCCTCTTATAGTGCCTTCACCAAGGCCCCCTTTTCTGTCTCCTTCTGCCCATAATTCTCCTGCAGGATCTGGCATTTTTGGAAAGGCCCTCTGTAGACACTGAATCATTAGCCAGCTGCATTTGTTGTCCTGGGTGTCAGTGCCAATCTTGCCTGTTATACTCAGTTCATCAAAAAGATCAAGGTAAAAATCTGAAAGAATTTTCCCAGGATCTTCTTGATTTTGACATACTCCTTCTCGTTGATGTCCACCATATACATTGCAGCAGCTACAGGAAGGTAAAAGGAATAGAAAGCTGTCTGACGCTTGACAATGGATTTGTATCTCTTTTCAGCGAATCTGCTAAGATCCACCTTGTCCTGGAAGGCAGTGATGAGGCCCAAGATCTGTCCAATCTCAGTCTAATAGGAACTCTGCAGGAAGAGCTCCATTAGGTTCAGATTATAGGGATGCTCCTGGCAACAGAGCTTCAGCAGACTGTAGATACACAGTTCCAGCAGCATGGCATCATTGATGGCATCCAAACCTATGCCTGACTTCTGATACCAGCAGGGCTGTCCACATCGGGTAAGGGGTGAATCCATAATGTCATCTAATACAAAGAGGAAATCTCAGAACAGCTCCAACACCAGCCAATTCATTGTCAGGGCCTGCTGCAGACTATCAGTATCCCGAGTTCTGGGCTCTCCTAGTTCCTGGAACACCATCAGTACTGTTAAACCTCAGTTGTACTTGCCTCTAGTCACATGGTACTCCAGGACCTTGCTGAGCTGGGTAATGGTGTCTCCAATTTCTAGGTGCCTTGGATCATCCTCAGTCAGCACCTTGAAAATCTGGGTGAAGTGCTGGATGAAATCCTGCTTCTCTTGGCCATAAGCCTCTGACTTCTGGTCTCTGTTCATTCTGAGGGATGAGCAGAGTGCTCTGTTCTTGGATGCTTATTCTTGCTTTCTGTGAGTATAGTTTTGTGTAGTTTGCATAGTTGTTGTAATGGATTTCAGACCCAATAGGGCCAAAGTATCCTTCAATTAAAATTAGGAAAGGTATGCATCAGAATTGTATCCATTCTCTATACCTATTTAAACTTTATGCTGAGCAAATTATTCAAGAAGCTAGATTCTGTGAAGAAGAGTGTGGCATTAGGATCATCATCTGTATAACCTTGGTTATACAGTGGTTTAATCTTGCTTACTGAAAGTGAGGAGGACATGAAGCCTTGCTTCATAAGGTTAAACACTGCAACCTTCAATATGAATTGCATCTCAATGTCAAGAAAACAAAAGTCTTTGCCACTGGACAGACAGGCAACATCATGATAGTTGGAGAAAAGATTGAAACTGCCAATGACTTAATCTTACTTGGGTCCACAATCACTATACTTGGTACTAGCAGTAAGGAGATATATTGGACTGGGAAAGTCTTTAGTCAAGGGCCTCTCTAAATTATTGAGAAACAATGATGCCAGTTTGAGGACAATGGTGCCCCTGATTAAGGCCATGTCTTTTCAGTAACTTGCTATGCATCTGAGAACTGGACAGTGAATAAAGATGACAGAAGAAGAATCAATGCCTTTGAACTGTGGTGTTGAAGAAGAGTGCTGAAGATCCCATGGATTGCCAAAAGAACAAACAGATATATCTTGAAGAAGGAGCATCCAGAGTGCTCCTTGAAAGCAAAGTTGATGAAGCTTCGTCTCACATACTTTGACCATGTTGCTAAGAGAGGTTATTCCTTGGAGAGGACATCATAGTTGGAAAGGTGGAGAGGCAGTGAAGGAGAGGAAGACCCTCAACAAGGTGGATTGACACAGCGACTGCAGCACTTCATGTGCTTGAGTGTGTTAGAGATTGTGTGGACAGCACAGGATAGGACAGGGTTCAGATCTCTTGTTCATAGATAGGATCACTATGCGTCATACTTGATGGTACCTAACAACAACAGGGCAATAGAATTGGTATTGGTAGTTAGTAGAAATAAGCATGAGAATGTGGAGGACATGTCTGATCTCATGGAAAATGGTTTTGTGTTGTGATGTTGATGGCAGCAATCCCACCTTGTAGAATTAATAGAGGATATGGCCATCCTCACACCACCCTCACTCATTTTTATATTTAGCTCTATCCTAAGGGGGGAAAATTCTTTAATACATTTTCAACATGGTAACTGGAAAGAATACTCGACTCCTTTATTTGTTGACATAGAGTGCTTGTGGTGGTGGTTGTTAGGTGCTGTCGAGTACAGCCCAGATAGCTGATAGAGTCACTGTGAGTTATAGTGTAATGCTTGAGGAGGAACCTGTTAAGAGCTGAGCTCTAACCCAAAGGCTTCAAGTCTCTAGGAATTTGAACCCCTCAGCTACTCCTAGGGAGAAAGATGAGAAGTCTGTTACAATATACAGCCTCAGAAACTTCTTCTTGTTGTTGCTATGTACCATTGAGTCAACTCCAACTCATAATAACCCTATGTACAACAGCTCTGAACTCTGCTCTATCCTGAGCCAATTTTATCATCTCTCCACACCTACATCTCTATTACCCCAGTCACTGAGTCAGTTCTTCTCATCCAGGATCTTCTTCTCTTGCACTGTCCTTTGACCCTTTCAAGCATGATGTCCCTCTCCCTCCCTGAAACATGCCCAGAGTATCTCAGATGGACCTTCAAAATCTTTGTTTCCAAGGAGCAGCCTGGTTTCACCTTCTCCAAAATGGACCTGTTTGTTCTCTTAGCAGTCTTTTGTATATTCAACACTCCTCTCCAGCACCACAACTCAAAGGCATCGATTCTTCTGTTATCCTTAGTCATTCTCCAGCTCTCTGATGCATAGCAAGTGATTGTAAAGACCATGGCCTGGATCGGGGGACCTTAGACTCTACACTGACATCATTGCTCTTCAGTACTCTGGAGAAGTCCTTGACAGCTGATTTTCCTAATGCAATTTGTCTTTTGATTTCCTGGTTGCTGATACCAAGAGTGTTGATTATGGAGCCAAGCAAGATGAAGCTATTAACAATCTCAATCTCTTTACTGTCTATCATGTTGCTACCAATTGGCTCAGTGGTGAGCTTTTTTTTTTAAGTTGAGCTTTAATCCATATTGAAAGCTGTAGTACTTGACTTTCTGCAGCAAATACCCAGGTCCTCCTCAGTTTTGGCTAACAGGATTGTGTCATCTGCATAACGCAAGTTGTTGATGAGTCTTCCTTCAATCCTGATGCCACATTCCTCCTTACAGAGTCTAACCTCCTGGATGATCTGTTCTGCATATATATTGAAATGGTATAGATACAGGATGCAACCCTGGAGACGCCCTTCCTGATTTTGTGGAAGGTTTTTATGAGTCAGACTGAACTCGATGACAGTAAGGATTTTGGGGTTTTTAGTTTTATTTTGTTGGCTAAGATTTAGATTTGTTAAGAGCTAGTATTCTTTGAATTGTGGTGCTGAAGAAGTGTATTGAATATACTATGGACTGACAAGAGAACAAACAGATCTGTCTTGGAGAGGATAAAATCAACCAGGTTGCTCCTTGAAGGCAAGACTTTTGATACTCTCTCTCACACTCTTTGGGCATGTTGCCAGAAGGGGCCAGTCCTTGGAGAAAGATATCAGGCTTGGAAGAGTAGAGTGTCAGCGGTCAGCACAGGAAAGGAAGACCCTGGATGAGCTGGAGAGATGGACTGACACAGTAACTGTGGCAGTAGAAGCAGGTGTGTCAGAGACAGTGAGATTGGCTCAGAGTAGGTCAGGGCTCAGAGCTGTTGTTCATAGGGTTGCTATGAATTGTAGTTGATTTGATAGCACATAACAATAATAACAATTTTATATATATTATTAGAGAATCTCTGAGTGATGCAAATAGTTAATCACTCCAGCAATAATAAAAAAGTTTACTGAACTCACCCAGAGGTACCCTAGAAGATAGGACTGATGAGACAGAACTGCTTTCTGGGATTTCAGTGTAGCTTCTTGCCACTATGCCCCCAGAGCTCAAGGACTGCTTTCTGAATGATTGCTGCCTAGAGAACCTTATGGAGCAGTTCTACTCTGTACACATGTGGCTGCTAAGAGTCAGAATCAACTTGATGGCAACTAACAATAATTTACTTTAATTTGAACATAGTCTATTCTACAACAAACATAAAATTATGATGTGCATAATTTGGAAACTATTTATTAGTATTCCAAATGGTTCCTCAGTTAGTAACCATAGTTATCCTGCATGCTTACCTTAGATTGAGCCCAGGGCTGAGGAAGAGAGCACGTCATCTGCAGATTGAAAGAGTGATCTTAGAAGGAAATGGCCCCACTGTTGTCACCCTCCTCTACCCCAGCATACATCCACATCCTGGCATCTCTGTTTTGAATATTTGCCCATTTTAGAGCCTGTCTTCTCAGTGTCTTAGGGCACATCAAGACCTCCCTTAGTAGAAGAGTCAACTATAGTGACTCTTTGGAGATAAGCCAGTGGTTACTTTTCCCTGTTGGGCTGTCTACTCCTCCACCTAAATCTATAGTGAGATCTATTGTTATATTGCCACTGTTCTCTTCTGTTGTTTTAGGAAAGACTAATACCAGAAATTAAGCTTTTTAAAGATATGCATTTCTTTTTTTTTTTAAATTTTATTATTTTCTCTGTGTCCGTACTGTCAAATTGTATCTGACTGGTACAGGAGGAGATGGCCCCTCCTTCTCCTGCAGAGCATCTGGTGGATTCAAACCACATATCTCTGGGATTGCAGTGCAGCTTCTTGCCACTAGGCCACCAGAGCTTCCCAAGATATGCATTTCTAAGTGGAATTTTCTCTAATTCATATAACTATCCATCATACTTAACCTGTATGTTGAGCAACTAATCTGAGAAGCTAAACTACATAAAGAAGAACATGGCATCAAGATTGGAAGAGTCAATAACCTTTGATACACAGATGGTACAGCCTTGCTAGCTTAAAAAAAGAAGTCTTTCTTAGCATTATCTGTTATGTTAGCTCTGGGATGAAAGCAAGAAGCTTCTCCCCAAAGAATGAAGACTATGTATGTTCTTAAGAACTTCAAACATGGAGGCAAGCTGATCTAGAGCTGAACTCTGACAGGTATGTGACCTGGGCAAATGGCTTACCTTCTCAGAACCTTAGTAACCTCATTGTGAAATCACTTCAGTTTCAGAAAGCTTTGGAGACAAAGAAAGGTCATAGAACCTCCTCCCCTCTTCTGATGTGCCCATGTAAACGTGCACAAGGGGGTTGCACAGTTTGCAAAGAAGCCATATATACAGGTGCCTCATTTTTTTAAAAAACAGTATATATCAAGAAGACTTCACTCATGATGAGTGCTCAGAAAAGATTAATAACTCAGATGAATCGACTTCGCTGACCTTCTGTTTTTCTCACCCCTAAGACACCTACAGCCACACACAGACTTATTTTCAGAGAAACCCTCTCGTTTCAGCCCATGAGACGAGGTGAGCATGTCCACTGCGTGGCACAGAAATAATGCGGCTCAGAATGGGGAGGGTAGAGCTTTTCAATTGGGGATGTAGTGTGATGGTCCATTTAGAGTGAGGAGACAAGCCCTTGGGAAGGTTGTAGAAAGAGGGCTAACCTACTCTGAACCAGAAATCCTCAGAAATTTGGGTTCTGTTTTACTTGAGAGAGAGGAGGGGAGGGATGGTCACAGCAGACTGGAGCCCAATGGGTGGTGATGGCTACAAGTCTCTAAGCTCGCAGATGTCTAACATTTAAGTGTTTGTATTTTTGCTCTGTAACCCCCCTCTGTCTCTCCAGATCTTCATTAAACTCTGATGTGTACAGAAAAAAAAGAAGTCTTACTGATGAAACTTAAAACTTATATGTTTTTAATATGGATCACACTTCAAATAAAACAGAAATCCTTACACATTGACTGATTAGCAAACATCATGATTAAGTGGAGAAAAGATTTAATTTGCTTAAATCTAAGCCTCCAAGACCATTTACTTGGATCTACAGTTAACACTTATATTATAGCAGTAGTCAAGAAATCAAACATGCAGTGGGAAAAATTTGTTATCAAGTACCTCCTTAAAGTTTTAAAGAGCAGGGCATTTTGATGATTAAGGTACACCTGGGCTTAAGCCATGGCTTTTTCAGTTGCTTCATATTCGTGTGAAAGTTTGACAATGAATAGGAAGGCTGAAGAAGAATATATGCTTTTGCGTTGTGACATTGACCAAGAATATTGAATATACCATTGAAAAAGAATACAGCTGATGTGGGATCAGCTAAGTCTTGCCTCTGTTAACTCCACAAGAAGAAAGAGTCCCCATGAGCAACATCCAAAGCACAAAATTTATTCCCATGAAACCATTTTTCCACCCTTCCCCTAACCACAGTTTTCCAAACCTACTTTTCTGATTATAATGCCAGCCATCCCTCCCAAGGCTCTTACTGCTCTGTGCTGGATCCATGAACCCCTTCCTTGCAATAGCCACACAGATCTCAAAGAACTCTACTCACGGTCATGGGCTATTAGGGAAGGTAACAGGTTCCAATTCAGAGTAGGATACAATTCTTCAGTCAGGACAGCTTCTAGCTTCGCAAGCATGTTTGCAGATCCTTGACCTTCAACCTTATAGCTTTAGGTCAATGTTAACAAAGCTGCATTAGTTCTGCCAATTATGATGTCTCACCTTCTCTAAGTTTTCCAGAAAACTTGAGTGAAGACCACGGGCTCATAGGTAAGCATTCCCAGGACAGCTGTGTCTCACATTGGCCTCTGGTTCTCCACTGCTCCTGCTAAATTGTCTTAATCTCAGTCTTGCAGATTTCTCTGGCCCTGAAGGATGCACAGTGCATTCTCTGGATCTTGCTAGTAGTAAGATTTCTCTCTTCTGTTTCTAAATCTGGTCAATTGAAGCCTGACAGTGTGGCAGGACTAACCAATCCCATCGTTAGTATCTACATACTATGTTTGCATGGGCCCACCCCAAAGGTACTGTTCACCACTTCACTTCATTAGCACACCTTCACGCATCTATGTGGCAAAGGTCAGAGCAGTGGGCTTGCAAAGTAATTTTGACAACCCACCCATTGTACCCCAACTGGTCAAAAGAACAGACAGTTTTGTCCCAAAAGTATAGGCAGGATACCCTTTGGAGATGAGGACAGTGAGACTTTGTCTCACATACTTTGGGCTATTAGGAAGGAGCAATCCTATGGTATTGACAATGGTCAAAATAACCTACTTAAAAAAAAAAGAACAAATGTACTTGTCTTGGAAGAAATTCAGCCAGAATGCTGCCTAGTAGTGATGAATGCAAGATTTTGTCTCATTCTCTTTGGACAAAATTATCAGAATGGACCAGTCCCTGGAGAAAGACATCATTCTTAGTTGAGGATCGGCAAGGAAGAGGAAGACCTTCAACAAAATGGATTGATACAGTGGCCACAGCAATAGCCTACAGCACCAACTGTGAAAATGGTTTTAGACTGAGAGGTGCTTCATTCTGTTGTACACAGGATCCCTATGAGTCAGAACTAACTCAACAGTACCTACTAGAATGTAGACATCAAGGATGTCATCCATGAAGAGAGCAAAAGGTCACTACAAAGACAGAGGCTAAAGAAAAAAACCAAAATGGACGTCAGAAGGATCCTGACAATTGCCCTAGAGTATTGAGAAGCCAAAACAAAGGGAAGAGAAGTAAAAGAGCTGAACACAAGATTTCAAAAATGCAGCTCGAGAAGACAAAGCAAACTACTATAATAGAATGTGCAGAGACTTAGAATTGGAGAATTAAAAAGGGAACAAATTCACTTTGCATTTCTCAATTTTAGAGGATATCATCCATGAAGAAAGCTAAAGATCATTACAAAGACAGGAGGAAGAGAAGAGCAAAATGGATGTCAGAAGGGTCTCTGAATATTGCACTAGAATGCCGAGAAGCAAAGAGAAGAAATGATGAAACTGAAGAGTTGAATAGAAGATTTCAAAGGGTAATTTGTACAAAGCAAAGTACTATAATGAAATGTGCAAAGTCAGAAAATCAAAAGGGAAGAACTCACAGCATTTATCAAGCTAAAGGAAATAAAGAACAAATTCAAGCTTCACATTGCAATATTGAAAGATGCTATGGTCAAAATCTTGAGTGAAAAAAAATCTTGAGTGAAGCATCAGATGAAAATGGAAGGAATACACAAAATCACTTTACCAAAAAAGAAAATTGACTCAGGACTATTTCAGGAAATCACATATGATTAGGAACCAATGATAATAAAGGAAGTTATTTAAACTACTCTGAAGAAATTGACCCCCCAAAAAATAAGACCCCAATAAATGATGCTGTATTAGTTGACATATTTCAATAAAACAGATGTACCATGGATTTACTCACCAGGGTTGTTCCAAGAAATTTGGAAGACAGTTACCTGGCCAACTGACTGGAAGAGATCCATATGTATTCCTATTTCCAAAAAAGGGGATCTAACAGAATGTGAAACTTATAAAACAATATCATTTGTTTCACATACAAGCGACATTTTGCTGAAGATTATGAAAAATGACTGGAACAGTACATTTACAGAAAACTGCCAGAAATACAATTTGGGTTTAATAGAGGCTGTGGCACTGAGGATATCATTGCTGATGTCAGATGGATTTTGGCTGAAAGCAGAGAGTACCAGATGATGTCTGTCTGTGTTTTATCAACTATGCAAAGGCATTTTGACTGTGTGAATCACAACAAACTGTGGACAACATTGAAAAGAATGTGAATCCCAAACGCTTGATTGTATTAAAATGAAACCTGTATCTTGACGAGGAAGCTGTTGTCCACACAGGAAAAGGGAACAAACACTACATGATTCAACATAAAGAAAGGAGTGTGTCAGGGATGGATCCTTTTTCTGTATCTTTTAAGTTTATATATTTTTTGAAGAAGAATGTAGCATCAGAATTGAAGGGAAACTGACTTGCATTATGCAGATGACACAGTCTTGCTCACTGAAACTAATTGCATCTTCAGCATCAGGGAAAAAAGATCCTCACGACTGGTCCAATGGGCAGCATCATGATAGATGGAGAAAAGATTGAAGTTGTTAAAAATTTCATCTTGCTCAGATCCACAATCAATACTCTTAGCATCAGCAGTTAGGAAATGAACAGATGAATTGCATTAAGAAAATTTGCTGTCAAAGACCTCTCCAGAGAGCTAAAGAGTAGAATTGTCAGTGTAAGGTTAAGATGCATCTGATCCAAGCCATGGGCTTCTCAATTTCTTGCTATGCATCTGAGAGCTTGACAATGACTAAGGATGACAATCCCATATACCTTTATGGTTATGGTACTGGAGAAGAGTCTTGAACATGGACTGTCAGTTCTCACCAGGACTCCAGCTCTCTCCAAGGTTGTGCTTTGAAGGCAAGAATTTTGAAACTCTACCTCACTTATTTTGGACATGTCAGAGGGACCAGTCCTTGGAGAAGGACATCGTGCTTGGTAAGTTAGAAGGTCAGCGCAAGAGAGGAACTCTGGTTGAGATGGATTGACACAGTGACTATAGCAATGGAATCAGAGGTGTTGAAGATGGTGAAATTGGCTTACAGTGGGGCAAGATCCAGAACTTTTGTTCATTGAGTCACTATGACCCATAGTCTAGTCAACAGCACTTATCAACAAGAGCAATGGGACTTTTGGTGGCCTGGTCTTAAGGAGCTGCATTGCCAACTCAGAGGCACACAGTTCAAATCCATCAGATGCTCCGAGGGAGAAAGATGGTCAATCTTCTCCCATGTGATTTGCCTGCCTCTGAAAACTTGCTGACGGGTCAAGTCTAGGTTGGTTCTGACTTAATAGTTCATTAACAACGATCAAGGCATATTATGTTTCCTCAAGGAGCATATACTCTAGAGATGGGAGACAAGTAAGGAGTCCAGTTTGGATTGGGGAATATACACAAGAGGTGTCTGGAAGCAGGCAAGAAAATCTACTTAAGTCATACAATGTGACCTGGGCATGCACTGTCTAAAACTCTGAAGAAATGCTGTGAAAATTGAGGAAATAGTTTATGAGGACTTACTCTAAAAGAATATTTTACTTTTTTAAACCTAGAGTCTAAAGATGACTTATCCAGACAAGTTTGAAGATCCTGTCATAATTCCTCTTCAAGAATTTGCCTGGGATGAATATCTACAGGAGCAAAAAAGGGTAAAATGATATTTTGGTTATGAAGGATATAATTAAAGATTTATTTCTATTTGTATTGATATGGAAAAATTATGTGAATTCTTTATCTTTGCATGAGAAGCAATTTATCTTTGTGTGGAAAGCAATCATGTTAGTGTATTTTTTTAAAATTTGGTGTTGGAAAGTATTATTTTTTATTGACATTTTAATGAAAGTTTATAAAGAACTTGGATTTCCATTCATTCATTGTTGCACAGTTAGTGTATTTCTTAAATTATATAATAACTTTTTCTATATTATTGAAATAATTTTATTGGGCTGAATTTTTTAAAAAAATGTAACATTTATCTAGAAGACACGTGGTATAGCTAAGTGTTAAACCCTCAGTGGTGCTATTTGCCCCTGTTGATGGCTAATACTTTCCCTGCATATTACTCATTCATGCTTCCTGTGACAACCTGGCTCCCAGGTTGCTGTGACCCACACCCTTCATGAACCTTACTCTACTGGTGTTAGAGCTGGTATACCTGAGGGTCATGTATATGTATGAGGCTGTTGCCCAGATGTTTAGCACCACTTTCCTGTAGGTTGAAGCTTCCTTTTCTGCATTCTTTCTCTAATTGTGCCCCTGGAGAACCCAGAACCTAAATCTAACAAAGCTTAGTTCAGGATAGTAAGTAGATAGATTTCTTTTAATGCAAGTTCTGATCAATTGGTGGTAATGCCTGGAGAGGAATGTGACACGAAGGATTCTGAGGTGGCTTCCTAATTCAGCAATATGTGTTTTGAGGTGAGAGGAATTGAAAGAACAGTGGCATGGGATATGCCTCCTGCTTATTATCTTTGGCCTAGTCCCATAGACAGTCTCAGTCCTAGTTTACTTGACCTGCCCCATCTCTTCAGTGGCTGACAAAATCCCATTTCTTTTGACCCAAATAATATAGATTGTCCTGTGCTTGGTTGCACAAGGATGTCCTATGATCTTGTGATTAAGTATCATGTAGGTAGTGATGCTTCATGAGACCACTACACTTACTGCTCAGTCAGACGGATGGTGCATGAGACTGAGTCAAGAATGCTGTTGGTATTACGAGTTGCCAACAAGCCTATTCTGACTCATGATGGCCCCATGTGTTACAGAATAGAATTGCTTCATACATATTTCTGATTTTACTCTTTAATAACTCTATTTTAAAAATCTTGTGGTGCTTTGGGTGAAAGTTTTCAGAGCAAATTCGTTTTCAGTAGTTTTTTTTACACATTTTGTTCCTAACATTAGTTCCAATTCCCTCGGTGTAACAGCTCTCTTCTAACTTGCTTCATGGGTTCCCCATGTCCATTTATTCTTTCCTGCTCCTTCTTGCTTCCTGAGCTTTGCTTTGAGGCAAATATTTGGCCCTTGTCTTAATAGAAGCAGATCACCAGGCAGTTTCTTTCATGGTATTGCTGGGTGGGTTTGAACTGTAAGCTGTTATGTTAATATTAAGTGCAAACTGTTTGTGTCACATAGGGACCTTGAATCAAGAAATACATTTGTTAAGTCTTACGTCATTTTCATAGCTATAATCCACTTCCATTCAAATACAAAGAGAAATATGTATTTATTATGTACCAAATCCACTTGATTACTAACCAAAAGGTTAACGGATGATACCCATCAAGAGGTATGTCAAAAGCAAAGTCTGTTGGTCTTCTTCAGAGAGGTCACAGCCATGGTCACCCTGTGGCACACAGTTCTAATCCAGAATCCCTGGAATCAGCTCAGTGGCATTTGGTTTGGGTTTTGGTGTTAGGGTCATTCTGTCTTTAATTATTCTTGAGAGGAAAAAGTCTAAAATAAGGCAGCGAGTATACTTTTTAAAGATTTTATGGAAAAACGTAGTTAAATTCTAGTGTCGATAACAAGCTCTGCTTATAGGTTAGATAAAGGTGTTTTTATTGTTTTAATAATTTTTAAGAAAATTTATTTTAATTATGATTTTAACAAATGTTTATGGAAAAGTTGGATTTTCATTCATTCATTGTTGCACATTTTCCTCCCTGCCCCACCCCTACTTCAATTTTGTTTTTTAAATACTAATTTATTGTTGCATAATTTCCTCCCTTCCCCTTTTTTCTCCCCCTTGCCCCCTAACTCAGTCCTCTTTGCAATATACCTCTTTTTCTGGACTATTGTCTTAAATATAATGCCTAATCATATATTCCATTTAAACAGTTCTCTCCCTCATCTGTTCCAATACAGTATTCATTATCTATCCACTCTTTTCCTGTTTCCTTCCCAACCTCCCATGTCAGTCCTGCTTTGTAACAGTGGTGTTATGAAGTATTTGTCCTTTTGAAACTGAGACATTTCACTCAGCTTGATGTCCTCCAGGGTTACTCATGTTGTGTAATGTTTTACAAGGTCATTATTTTTCAGTGCTGCATAGTATTCCATTGTATAAATATAACATAGTTTTTCTGTCCATTCGATTGTGGATGGGCATTTGGGTTGTTGCCATCTCTTCACTATTGTGAATAATGCTGCAATCAACATGGGTGTAGGGTGTTGTTTTTAAGGGTTGGGTTTTCCCCCTTTCTCATTACATTTTTAAAAATCCTTTTTCTCTCTAGGAACTCAAAGGTGAAACCTGGGAATATTCTTCCTATGTGATATGTTTCATCAATGATAAGTTCCTTGGTGATTCATATGAGCTGCAGAAATGGGCGCGCAAGATGTGGGATATAGTTGATGTTAAGCCCAATGCACTTTATGAGGCACTTACTTTGGATTATTCCACTAAATTCTTAAGAGATACCAAGGCAAGTTACACTGCTTCCCCCCCCCTTTAAATTTTTTTTAAATTTATTTTTCCCCGTTTTTCTTTTAATGGGACCATTAATCATTCACATGATTATGTACTAATTACAGATAACCTAACACAAAGAATCTAAATGAGTAGGCAAATAGGTTATAAGACCTCAATGATTATTATCTAGTTGCAAGGGATTGGAGTATGACAGGGTTTGCCTGGACATATGTGAAAAGCAAACATATTTCTCAACAGACAGGCTGCACAGGCAAAGTTACTCTGTTCAAATGTTTCTATTCCCCATTTATAAATACTAATTGCCACACATCTTAAAAGAACCACTTAGAGAATGTGGAACTTTTCAGTTGTTGTTGTTGTTCTTATGTGCCGTCGAGTCGTTTCCGACTCATAGCGACCCTATGCACAACAGCCCTAAACCCTGCTCTATCCTGCGCCAACCGCACCGCCTCTGACACACCCATCCCGATTACCCCAGTCACCGAATCAATCCATCTCATAGAGGGTCTTTCCCTCCTGCGCTGTCGCTTTACCCTCCCAAGCATGATGTCCCTCTCTAAGGACCTGTCCCTCCTGGCAACATGTCCAAAATATGTCAGACAAAGCCCCAGAATCCTTGCCTCCAAGGAGTAGCTTGGTTTAATCCTCTCCAAGATGAATCTGTTTGTTTTCCTGGCAGTCCATGGTACATTCAGTACCCTTCTCCAGCACCACAGCTCAAAAGCATCCACTCTCCTTCTGTCCTCCCTAGTCATTGTCCAACTCTCTGATGCATAACAAGCGATTGCAAATACCATGGCCTGTATCAGGCGCACCTTAGTCTCCAGAGAGACACTGTTGCTCCTGAGTACCTTAGAGAGGTCCCTAACAGCAGACTTTCCCATCGCGATATGCTTTTTGATTTCCTGACTGCTGGTGCCAAGAGTGTTGACCGTGGAGCTGAGCAAACTGAAGCTGTGAACACTCTCAATCTCTTCGTCATCCATCCTGATGCTGCCAATTGGTCCAGTGGCGAGAATCTTTGTCTTCTTGACATTGAGCCTTAGTCCATACTGAAGGCTGCAGTCCTTGACCCTTCGCAGCAAGTGCATGAGGTCCTCCTCAGTTTCAGCAAGCAGGGTTGTGTCATCTGCATAACGCAGATTGTTAATAGATCTTCCACCAATCCTGATGCCACAATTCTCCTCATAGAGCCCAGCCTCTCGGATAATCTGCTCTGCATACATGTTGAAAAGGTATGGAGACAGGATGCATCCCTGGGGTACACCCTTCCCAATTTTGAACCATGCAGTGTTACCCTGCTCTGTTCTGACTACTGCCTCTTGGTCCAAGTATAGGTTTCGTATTAGCACAATTAAATGTTCTGGGATTCCCATTCTTCTCAGAGTCGGCCAGAGTTTGTTATGATCCACACAGTCAAATGCCTTTGCATAATCAATGAAACACAGATAGACATTCTTCTGGTATTCTCTGCATTCAACCAAGATCCATCTAACATCAGCAACAATATCCCTAGTACCACGACCCCTTCTAAACCCAGCCTGGACTTCTGGCAGTTCTCTGCTGATGTGCTGTTCTAATCCTTTTTGGATGATCTTCAGCAGAATCTTGCTTGCATGTGAAATCAATGACACTGTTCTGTAGTTTCCACACTCAGTTGGGTCACCTTTCTTTGGAATGGGAACAAATACAGATCTCTTCCAGTCAGTTGGCCAAGTGGTTGTTCTCCAGATTTCTTGGCACATCTTGGTGAGCACATCCAGGGCAACATCTGTTATCTGAAATACTTCAATATAAAATATTTTCACTTAATCCTTTTAACACATAGGTGATAGTTTTTGTATTAAGAGAATGAGCATTTTGATTGAGAAGAAAGAAAGGTGACATTTTTAAAGCATGACATAGGGGAGCTCTGGTGGCCTAGTGGCAAGAAGCTGCACTGCAATCCCAGAGATATGCAGTTCGAATCCACCAGATGCTCTACCGGAGAAGGTGGGGTAATTTCCTCCTGTACCAATCAGATCTGATTTGACAGTACAGACACACACAAAATAATAAAATAAAAAAAATATAAAAGCATGATGTATAGATGAGAGCAGTCCTGGACAGGCTAAGACAGAGGGAGCTTCCACTAACCATGAATACACAACTCAAGTCTTGCAAGGCAAGAGACATATATCAGGATGAGGTGGTCACAACTCCACTCATTGCTAAGAACCAACTCATAGCTGACACTAAGAGGCTATAAAGGGCATCTTTCTCCTGTAGAGCTACTGATTAATTTGAACCATCAGAGAACTGCCACCTTTAGGATAGCAGCAATACAACTCTCTACCCACTAGGACATATCCCTTGCAAAAGCTAAAAGAACTTGGGAAGTTTACTAAGAAACGTCACTGTACAGTTATCATGTGTTAAAAATAATCTCATCTATAGTGGCTTGTGCTCACAGGATGACTGAATGCTAGGATCTGGCCTATATAGAGACCTTGTATATTCATTGCCTTTTAACCAGTGCCTCAAACAGAACCTAAAATAGAAGAAGTGCTCAGTGAAGGCAGTAAACTTTGAAATACTAGAAACTTTGGGGTAAGGGTAGGAATTGATGTTCCACAGCAGTTAATTTCCAAAAAGGAAGAGTGGCTAGAAAGAAGAACCATTCTGGGAATGGCAGGGGACAAAAAGATCACAGCTGGAAGTGAGTCTAGGAAAAGAATATTGGTCAAGATTCTTGGTGCCAACAATACCATGCCACACTGATTCATTGAGGAGGAAAGGATGTCGTTTCCCTAACAATTGACAGCAAAGCTTAAATCCAGCTTTGGAAAACAGGTAGGAGCCAAGGGAAGACGGAAAACAGAAAACCTGAGCTACCACACCACAGAAGTATTTGATGGGGACACTCCTGTGAGCTTACATGGCCACTTTCATTATGAATAACTACTCAACTCTTTACGAGTTACTCCCCTGGCAGAAGCATCTGCCTGGTCTAAGCAGGTCATATCCTCACACCCTGGCTGCCACAGGTCCTCTTGTTTTATTACTTTTTGTGTGTACCATAAAGTCAGATCTGACTGGTACAGAAGGCGATTGCCCCTCCTTCTCCAGCAGAGAATCTGGTGGATCCAAACCACATACCTGTGGATTTGCAGTGCAGCTGCTTGCCACTAGGCCACCAGAGCTCCCCCAAAGGTCCCTTTGGAGTTAATAGAGGGTAGTGGAGCCTTGTGGGAAATTTCTCATATAGAAATTGTGCTCAGATGGTAAGAAGGAAAAAAAAAAGTAAGAGGAGACTTTACAGAGTTCCACTACAGAAACTTTGAGGCCAGATTATGCTTAAGTGTTCACTTTACATCAAGGAATTAGATTTTATGCACTAGATAACTGAGCCAGATGAGTTTTTAAAAAAGAATGTACCATCATCTTCCTGCTCTTTTTTTGGAAAGCATTTTAAGGGCCATGAAGAAGCAGGCTGGAGTAGGGAGAGGCAGGTGGAAGGGCAGCCGTTGGCAGAGCTGCTGCTGGAGCTGGTTAGTAATAATGAGAGCCTGAATTAATTAATGGTAATGAGGACAAAGGACCTAAGTTCTAGAGAAAATTCTTGGACTTTTCACACAGAAGGTAGACTTCTCCCTGAATAAAAATCAAGAACTTTGTTATCAGAGGCTATGATGTTTACTTGTGAGTTGCTGTCATTTGCAAGACAATTATGTGTATTTGACTGCAAGGCAATTATATCATTACTTTATCTTGAATTAATTTGATCTCTTTCCATTGGAATTTTCAGAACCATCTGCTCTTTCAGTAATTCAAGAAGATAATGTATTGATGCACAGGGAAGTTTAATGGGCGTCATCATTTAATAAGTCAACCACCTATTTTTTTTTCTCCTAAGCCTTGTGAAGTTTGCTCTACGTTTCCTATTCTTTAGTAGTTCATGATGTTCTCTTTTATAATTAAGAACTTGAAGTATAGAAACTGAGAGACAGAAACATTATACTTAGTGTGGATTATAGATAGCACAATATTATTCCAGTCTTTTAATTAAGAAGCAGGTAGGAGTGCCATAAAATAATGATAATGATACATTTACAAGTAATTTATCTTTCCTAGATTCTTAATCAATCAATGCATCTTGATTGCATGTTCGATCTATCTCCGACTGTAAAAGTTGGTAGAAATCATCTATTTCTTCTTCTTTGGCTCTGG